GTACTCACTTCTGTGAGATACTGTATATGCTGTTGTGCCTGTCGAAGGATTTCCTGAGAGGTACTCAGCTCTGCCACACAGAAGATCCCTGTTTGGCAGGGGAGGAGACTTGCTTCTCCTCTCCCATTAGTGCACCCATCATAAGCTTGCTGAAGATTGCTGTGATATACCGGCCTCCTGGATCCATACCACGCTTCCTGGATGACTTCTCCTCCTGGCTACCCTTCTTCCTCTCCTCTGAGCTACCCACCATCATTCTTGGGGATTTCAACATCCCTGTCAACCTCGACAACCCGGACACAGCCCGTCTCCTCCACCTAACCTCCTCCTTTGCACTTGCACAGTGCATACAATCCACCACCCACTCCGACGGTAATATCCTGGACCTTGTCTTCTCCAACCGCTGCGCTCCCCACAACCTCACTAACACCCCTTCCCTCTCTCTGACCACAACCTGATCACCTTCTCTATCTCCTCGTCCTCCAACGCCTACCCCTCCAAATGTCACACTACTACCAGCCGTAACCTCCGCAACCTTAACCCTGCCTCCCTCCACTCTGCAGCTGATCAACTCCACGACCGCATCCTCCCCTGTCCTGCCCCGACTTGGCTTTGACCGCCTACAACAATGCGCTCTCAACAGCCCTTGACTCACTAGCGCCTTTAACCACACGCAACATCAGACCCCAACCGCTCCAGCCCTGGCAGACTGATCACACCAAAACCCTCAAACGACACAGTCGTGCCCTGGAGCGACTATGGCGCAAAACCAAATCCAAACAAGCCTTCACCCGCTACAAATCTGCCTTCTGCACCTACACCTCCTCCCTCCATGCTGCCAAACAGGCCTACTTCTTGACCCTCATCAAGGCCCTCTCCTCCAATCCTCGCCGACTCTTCTCTGCCTTCAACTCTCTACTCTCTCCACCCCCACCTCCACCCAGCACCTCACTCACTGCCCTTGAGATTGCCAATCACTTCAAAAACAAAATTGACACAATTCGCAAGGACATTGCCGCAACTCACACGCCCTCTCAACCCGTCCCCTCTCACACAGCTACCCCCTTATCCCCCCTCCCCCTCGACATAACCCGCAGGGACTTCGTCGCTGCATCTCAAACTCTCTCCAACCCCCTTCACCCTCACTCAGCTACCCCCTCATCACCCCTCTCCCCACAGCCCACCACTGCTCTGACCTCCTCTTCCACCCCCACCCTACATTCCTCATACTGAAGCTCCCCCAACACTCCACACCTTTGACCTTACTACCATCGAGGAAGTCTCCAAGATGCTCTCTGATGCCCGCCTCACCACCTGCCCCCTCGACCCTATCCCCTCACAACTCCTACGACCTTCCTCCTCCTCCATCCTACGCTCCCTCACCCACATCTTCAATCTCTCCTCTCTCCTCAGGCACTTTCCCCTCCCCTCTGAAACATGCACACATCACCCCCATACTTAAAAAAGCCCTCCCTGGACCCCAATGACCCGAACAACCTCAGACCCATCTCCTGCTCCCATTTACATCTAAACTCCTCGAGCGCCTAGTCTACACCCGCCTATGCTCTCACCTCAACGACAACAACCTCCTCGATCCCCTACAGTCCGACTTCCGTCCCCTACACTCCACCGAAACTGCCTTATTCAAACTCTCCAACGACCTGCTAACCGCCAAAGCTAATGGCCACTATTCAGTGCTCCTACTCCTTGACCTCTCTGCGGCCTTCGACACAGTCGACCATCCCCCTTCTCCTCAAAAAACTACACTCCCTCGGCCTCAGAGATTCTGCTCTCTCCTGGCTCTCATCCTACCTGTCACAACGCTCCTTCAGCGTTACATATAATGCTACCACCTCCCCCTCTCACTCCCCCTCTCTGTTGGGGTCCCTCAAGGCTCTGTCCTCGGGCCCCTTCTCTTCTCCATCTATACCTCCTCCCTTGGCCAACTCATACACTCTCACGGCTTCAACTACCACCTCTATGCCGACGACACACAAATCTATCTCTCGACCCCCCACCTCACCCCCTTGGTCTCAGCCCGAATCACACACCTACTGAGCGACATATCAGACTGGATGTCGCTCCACTTCCTTAAATTGAACCTCTCCAAAACCGAGTTTCTTGTCTTCCCCCCAGCCCGGACACCACCCCCCATTGATTTCTCCATCACATCCAACAACGCTACCATCAAACCCACCCTGCAGGCCAGAGTACTGGGTGTCATTCTGGACTCCAACCTATCCTTCCAGCCCCAAGTCCAATCTTTAACAAACTCGTGCAGACTCCACCTCCGCAACATCGCCAAAATCCGCACGTTCCTAACCCCAGAAACACACTAAACAGCTCATCCACTCCCTCATCATATCACGACTCGACTACTGCAACTCCCTCCTCACTGGCCTGCCTCGCCGCTGGCTATCCCCTCTTCAGTCCATCCTGAACACGGCTGCCAGACTCATTCACCTTTCCAACCGCACTGTCTCCGCCACCCCCCTCTGCCAATCCCTCCACTGGCTTCCGATTGCGCAACGGATCATATTCAAAATCCTAACGCTGACGTACAAAGCTGTCCACCATACTGCCCCGAACTACATCACTGACCTAATATCCAAGTACCGCCCAGCACGCACACTCCGCTCCTCACAAGACCTCCTTCTCTCTAGTTTCCCTGGTCTCCTCCTCCCATGCCCGCCTCCAGGACTTCTCCAGGGTGTCACCCATCCTCTGGAACTCCCTGCCCCAACCCATCAGATTATCACCTACTCTCCTCTCCTTTAGGCGCACCCTGAAAACCCATCTCTTCAGGGAAGCCTACCCCCACCCCCTGCTAACTTGCCGACCTCCTCCACTCTTCCTACCACTCCATCCCCCACAGCTATCTCCTCCTGTGCCACCACCACCCCTCCCTCCTAGATTGTAAGCTCGAAAGAGCAGGGCCCTCGAATCCCTCATGTTTTGCATTGTATTGGTATTGTTCTGTCACATGTTCTGTCCCCCTTTGTAATGTATAGCGCTGAGCGAACTATTGGCGCTTTATAAATACTGTATAATAATAATAATAATAATAATAAGCACATGAGCACTGCATCACAACTGATTGGCTCCTTGTTCTGCTTCTCCCTGTTCCAGTCTGATCTCTGCTGTAAAATAGATTGTAAGAGACAGATATCAGGTCAAATTCAGGTACCTTTACTGCATGCATTTTAAAGAAGACTGTTAATTGTGTAATAATGAACGCATAGATATAGTAATGTGTGTCTTTAATATCTGCCTGGAGTTCAGATTTAAATGCTGACCCACCAACTGCCTATACTCAACTTCTCTTCAAAATGTTCCACTGGTATTAAGTGAAATACCCCGTACCTCCAGGTATGGGAAAGAATGTGACACTCTCTCCTTTCTTCCAGGATACCTGATCGTCCAATTACTAAGCTCAGGGACTCTAAAGTGGAGGTGGGAAAAGAACCCTTAGCCCTGGGAATGCTCTTGCCAGATTAATTTTTCTTTACTATATGAATCCAAAGAGCAAGCAGAGCAGTGGATACACTTTATTTTTTAATTAAATCCTGCCAATTTTTACCCATTAACTATTTTTTGTTATCATTGTTATTAACTTATGTTGCATTCCTCGTTCAACGTGTTCCTATCGTTGGTATTGAAAATTGATGATTGAATGACTGAATTACATTTACCTTTAAAACTGACTTCAAACTCATGTTAGGTGCTCTAACAGGATGATAGTCAACCAATCATGTAATTTATTTATATATTAGAAAAGAGTCTTATGTCTCTGGATACTCTTCAACCAATTCAATGCTGGATTCAAACAAGCCTGGATCTAGGGGGTTGCTGGGGTGGGCTGTGCCCCCCAGGGTTTCGTTTTTCCCCCCAGGTCTCTGAGAAGGCATCCACTGATCCATGAGCCAATTTGATGGAGACACTGATGTAAGGGGGCACTCTGATGAGGACAACAGATGTAAGGGGGCACTCTGATAGGGATATTTAATGTAAAGAGAAGATCTGATGGGGGCATTGATGTAAGGAGGCACTCTTTTGTGGACACTTTATGTAAGGGGGAACTCTGATGGGGCGATTGATGTAAGGGGGCACTCTGATGCAGAAAGTTGATGTAGGGTAGCACTCTGATAAGGACAATCCATGTAAAGGGTGTAACGGAACCGGACCCCAGACCACACTTGGGTATATTCCGTTATACTGCAGCTTCCCTGTCCGAACACAAATCCACGGACCACACCCTTGAAATCCCTCAGGAAATAGACAGCACCTGACTCTTCTTAAAACAGGAAGTCAACTCCTTTATTTTTACACAAACAACAGGTTATATGCACAGGGCGGGGGAAACACAACCAGGAACAGAAAACACATCATCAGCCCGCCCCATCAGTGGGAAGGGCTACAGGAAACACATCATCAGCCCGCCCCATCAGTGGGAAGGGCTACAGCACATGGCAAAGGACAATGGACAGCCACGTGGCTGAGAACAAAGGACAACACACCAATACACATTCACACCCTGTACCCCTTAACAGGCACAGGGTGAATTAAACATAATGAGGGGAACATGAGCTGACACAGAGGTCCCCCCACTCCCAAAAGTCACTCCTGTCACATAGGGGCACTGTGATGGGGACATCTGATATAAGGGGTGCTCTGATAGGGACCCTGATGTAAGGGTTACTCTGATGGGGACCTTGATGTAAGGGGGCACTCTGATGGGGCGATTGATGTAAGGGGGCACTCTGCTGCAGAAAGTTGATGTAAGGTAGCACTGTAATGAGGACAATCCATGTAAAGGGGCACTATGATGAGGATATCTGATGTAAGGGGGGCTCTGATAGGGACCCTGATGAAAGGGTTACTGTGGTGGGGGCCCTGATTTAATGGAGGACTCTGATGAAGCCCTGATATAAGGGGGGACGCTAATAGGGACACATAATATAAGGTGGCACATGTTCTGTTCTGTTTAATGACAGCCTAATACCAGGGGCGGACTGACCATTTGGAAACTCAGGCACTGCCCGAGGGCCCAGGGTCAGTAGGGGGCCCCATGAGATGCCCTTGGTACCTCTTTCATAGGCTTTTTTGAGTTTGGGCAAGGACACACAGGGGCCCCTTGATCCCCTATTGCCCGGGGGCCCCATGAGTTGTCAGTCCGCCCCTGCCTAATACATACTTGTGTTTCCCAGGTCATGACTTGAACAGGGAATATTGGTTCCCTGCATCTCTGTCATACTGTGTGACAGACTTTCAGTGACTTACATACAGTGTTGATATTATGCTCCCTGACTTTTTTTAGTGCACCCCCAGATGAGATAGGCTAGATCCAGTTCTGGACTCAAAGAGGAATACAATCAGTTTCAGGGACTAGATTTTCCAAGCCAATCCTCATTTCTCCTCTAAGATAGCATCAAGGGTGTCAGGTCAGGGCCTATGTATTATAATGATCACCCTTCATCACAGTAGGATCATCCTATTGCAGCACAATATGAGCTTATCACACCCAAAACATGCCACACCCAAATGCATGGTACTGTGGTAGCATGCGATCTGGTTCCTGCAAACGCACTGTGATTGCATTCTGCGTTCGGGTGCTGTTAACAATGTATGGGCACCCGCAGCAGATCGCATAGGCAGTGCGTTTGAATGTGGTGCGGAAAATACGCGGGGAACGTGACTTTATCGTATCATGTTCTGGTGGCCGTAAGGGAAACTTGGACTTTAATATGGAAAGTTGTTGGTAAAGTTAAACCTTTGATTCTTTGACAGCTTCTCACACTTGTTCCTATATGATCTAGACATATTTTTTCAGACGCCTTACACACAGTGGTGTATTTAGGTTTTGTGCTGCCCTAGGCAACACGAAAATCGGAAGCCCCTCCCTGGCAGAGAGAGAGCCTCACATGGACCAACACCAGACCCCCCTTCCCCCTGTGGAGAGAGCGTGACAGTGACCAACAACACCCCTGCCCCATCCCCCCCACCCAAGAAAGCCTTCCACTAACACCCACCCCCCCATGGCGACAGAGAGAAAGACACTCACCTTCACAGCTCTGGACATCCCCGGGAATGACAGTTGGGCTCTGTATACACCATCAAGCAGCCCATCACGGATCCCACCTGGTCCCCATGCCGCATATGTCCCTTCTTCCAGGGGGCAGTGCTGCCCCCCCTAAAACATGCCACCCTAGGCAAATGCCTTGTTCGCCTTGTGGTAAATATGCCCCTGCTTACACGGGAGACTTAAAGTGCAGTGAATTCTAAAGGTGATAATTCGCTAAGTTATATATAGAAATGGTAATCATGCCTAAAGCTGGCCATAGATAGACTGATTTTCTTTCCTGCATCCACGGCAGGGATAGGGGGGATGAGCCATCACTTCCGGGAGGACGCAGAAATCACTGCTAGAGGCTATATAATAGCCACTAGCAATAATCTCATGTAAAATCCAAAAGGCTGGTTGTACCCAAGTTGATAAATCAATCAACTTGAGTACATTCAGCCTGCCCATACATGGTATACCATAAGATCAAATATTTTATCTTGAATTCCTCCTGAAAGATAGCATGTGTATTGATCAGCTTTGAGTTCAAGCATGGGCTTGATGTTGGGTTCAGTTCAAACCCAATTTCCTCCTAATCTGGAAGTTAGTTGTCAGTGCTGGCCAAATAGGCTGTGGGTAGGAGATTCCCTACCCCGCAACTGATGTACACAAGGGGGGGGGGGGTGTGTTATTCCTTATTATTACTTAATATGGCACATGGGCATATCAGGTCAATGGCATTATTAGGCCATGTGGATGGAATAGACCAGTTGTGTTTGCATAAAAAAGCTTAACAAAAGATTCATAGATTCTTCACTGCACAGGGTTAGTGAAAGACACATTAGACTTAACTCTGTCCCTAAAATGTCCAGTTTTTCTCCATAACTCTGACCTTCAGTCAGTAAGAACCTGGAACGTGCCCACTCTGCATTCAGATTTGTATTTTTCTTACCTTTAATGCACTTTAGGGAGAATCCAAAGGATCCTTTGTCTTTCACCAGATAGCAAAGTCTTGGCTTTAGTGTAGAGGATTTGCTGGGTTTTGGTGTAGAGGATTCAGTGGGTTTTGAAGAAACACCTTCATATGGAGGTGGCTTACTATCAGAAAGGTCCGCACTATTTTGCTTAGACTTTTTGTAGGAATCTTTATCCAGAACTGACAAGGTGACTGAATTTCCGCTGGCCTTAATAAGGTTTACGACCTGTTTGTTCACAAAAAAATGAAAAAAAAAAAACAGTATTCACTAGAGACCAGTGGCATCACTGAGAATGCAGCCTATCCATTCACTAGAGACAGGTGACATCACTGGGAGTGCAGCCTATCCATTCACTAGAGACCAGTGACATCACTGAGAATGCAGCCTATCCCTTCACTAGAGACCGATGACATCACTGAGAATGCAGCCTACCACTTCACTAAAGACCGGTGACATCACAGAGAATGCAACCTATCCATTCATTAGAAACCGTTGATACCACTGAGAATGCAGCCTATCCATTCACTAGAGACCGATGACATCACTGACTGAGAATGCAGCCTATCCATTCAATAGAGACTGATGACATCACTGAGAATTCAGCCTATCTATTCATTTGATGACATCACTGCGAATTCAGCCTATCCATTCACTAGAGACCAGTGGCGTCACTGAGAATGCAGCCTATCCATTCACTAGAGAATGCATCACTGAGAATGCAGCCTATCCATCCATTCATAGAGACCGTTGACATCACTGAGAATGCAGCCTATTCATTTAATAGAGACTGATGACATCACTGAGAATGCAGCTTATCCATTCGCTAGAGGCTGATGACATCACTTGAGAATGCAGTCTATCCATTCACTAGAGACCGGGGACATCACTGGGAGTGCAGCCTATCCATTCATTAGAAACCGGTGATACCACTGAGAATGCAGCCTATCCATTCACTGGAGTCCAATAACATCACTGAGAATGTGACCCATCCAATCACTAGAGATCGGTGACATCCCTGGTAATGCAGCCTTTGCATTTGTTCACTTAAAAATTGTAATTCATCAAATCCGCAATAACATTACCTCCGGGTGCTCTTTGTCATCTACGAATACTCCGTTGACCTTCATTACTCGGTCTCCATCTTTTAGCCCAGCTTTCTCTGCATTGCTCCCCTTTTCAATGGACCGGACAAGGTGGCCCTGTTCATCTTGTTCAACACGTAGGAAAAATCCATAGCCATTTCCCTCTACTTTGTTTATGGTACATTCCCGAGGCTGGACGGTGGAGGCCATTTCTACAATAAATGTCAAAACTTAGAGGTAAGAAAATGTTTTGAAATACACGCCTATCAAGATGCAGCCAAATGAAGGTGAAAATCTGTGCAAATGGTTTTTATCTTTTTAATTTCTGTTTCAGCTTTTCGCCTTTCATTTCTCTTCTCTCACCTTCTAACTTCCATATTCCATCTGAGGTTCACATCAAGGCATTAAAGTGCATGTCAAGGCAAAATCGTATTGTTTAATTTTGTACAGAGTAGGGATGGGTTACACCTTTTGTCAGGTTTTTATTGCGGCCTTTATTCTCATTGAGGGGTTACATCCTATTTGTCCAGATGACCATTATCACTAGGACAGAATATAATGAAAACTCCCAAAAATATTGAGTTGTCATCAAAGCAAGAAGTGAAGGAAAATCCTCCAATGGGGACACCTGTTTATATGAAAACTCTCTAAGATGAAAATTCTGCACATATTTCCTCTCATTTACTGTTGAGTCTTCCAGAAATGGAAATATATGTTCTATTTCAAATGCTGCTTTATGCATTGACATACCTCCTTAGATCTAGCCTGTCCGGACAGTATGTTCACCTGCTGGCTTGGCACCATCCACAGGCAGCTTAACTCTTCAATAATGAGTGGACCGACGCCACTCAAACCAGCCCTAAGAGTCCAGTGTATATGGGATGGCCTCAGCCATCGCCTATGGCAAAATGCATCAGAGGGCATGGCTGGAGTGGCAGCTGAGGCCATCCCACATACACCAGACTCTCCGGGCTGGTTTGAGCGGTGTCATTGTATACTGGAGCCACTGGAAGCAATTTAGGACGCTGCACTCTCCCTCCATACTGGCGGGGAGACAGTTCTTTCTTCTCAGCTTAGGGCAGTGTCACAAGCTTGTCAATGACTCTCCAATAAGTCACAGAAGTTAAAACCAACAATTTTAGTTTAACTAACTGCAGTACAGAGGATGTTTTCCCAGTCCTTTGATGTGCAAGAAGATAACGACTTTCTTAACACTGACTGAAGGAACATGTGGGGAGGGTCTAGTTAGGACTGAACTAAATATCGTATGTGCTCTCCAGCGCTTCAGGAAATGGACAGCCAAAGGGAAGCCAAGGGGACCAGGACAGAGGCACCCAAAAGAAGATGCTTCAGGGGTGCAGCCCTCCTCAGATGGGGAGATCAGCCACTAGATAAAGAGTAAACAACGTTGCTGCTGATACTCTGGTATCAGCAGCAATGTTGTTCAAACCATCTGCCCTCCTTATCCACTACACATCTGTACCAGTCTAAGAGGCTGGTCAGCAGCTTTGAGGAAAGGGACTCGTCCCCAAAACGCACCAGCCATTTGACCGCACTGACAGTTGGAACACCTTGCCTGCCGTTGTGGCCATCTTCTTAATGCAAAAGCTTTTCATACATGCTTCGTCTGTGAGTATGTTTTTGTCTTTTATACCTTTGAATAAACCTTGGATAATGCACTAGGTGTGTGGGCCACCTGTTTACTCTTTATTTAGGACTGAACTAACTAACTTTAAACAGGAGGGGTGGATAGAGAGAGAAACCAACATCAGCAGTAAACAAGTTGCAGTGGCTCGAAACTAACTCTAGATGTCAGCAAACTATAGAAGAATAATAACCTAATGAAGTTCAATACAACACAGAGGAATACATGAATGTGGGGCAGAACAGGAAATCTCCCCAGTGCCACACAGGCAGAAGAAAATAACTTGATAGTGCTTTAAAGGCGTTACTACTCTTATACGGAAAATAATGATTTGGCTTTTCATTGACTAGTAAATTATTCCTGAAATTCACTTGGCAAGTATAAACTCCAGCCTAGAATTTCCTTTTCTGTTAGTCACTGGATCCATCAATGCATTATTCTAACACATTCAAATTGGGAAACACACATCCTGGCACCTTGAGTTAACCATGAACCAGGGGCGGACTGACCATTTGGAAACTCGGGCACTGCCCGAGGGCCCGGGGTCAGTAGGGGGCCCCATGAGATGCCCCTGGTACCTTTTTCATAGGCTTTTTTGAGTTTGGGCAAGGACACGGGGCCCC